GTACAATTCGTCCTTTTTGCCTAGGGTGCTAAAGGACATAGTCCCATCACTGTATGAGTCACCACATTGCAGTCCAGTTGTAGTCTAGTTCTCTTTTAAGCAGAAAAAAGACAGCTCACCCAGCTACTGGAGAGAGGTTGAGATTGAAAATGTAGGAGTGTGTAATTTTTGTGCTCAAATTACATTAGTAAATACAAGCATGACGATGATCAACACATCCACCATATTGAAAAAAATCTCACTATATCTTCCTGAATAAAAGCAGATGAAATATGTTCATTCCATTGCGATCCATGCACTTCCTGTGCTATTTTTACAATGCATGAACATTTCTCAGCTGCTTTTATTCTGAAAGAAATAAAGTGACATTTTTATTTATATTGTGAATATGCTTACCGTCTTCACTTTGGGTTTGACCAAAAGTTGAACATTTCAGAGCTGCATTAATGCAACTTCACCCTTAGAGAAATAGACCCCTGAGTTTACACTGGTAGACACAGCGATCTATTCACAAAGCTGCCGAAGGATCTAGCCGTAGCTTCGGCCGATCCTTCGGCTAGCTTCGGCCCCAGGACTCCTTCGGTTCAGTAGAACCGAAGGGGTGCTGTACGGTTCCGCTATACTTTTTTTTTTTTTTTAACCTTTCTTCACATTTTTATCCTGGTCATCTGTTTGCATACTTTACTATTTTAGCTATTGTTTAGACTTTTTTTTTTACGTCACATCCTTACATGAAAGGCCTCATTTCACAAGATAGGAGCATACATAATCTACTTTGTTTTATTCTGCAACCATTCATATTGCACACATTATCACGTCTTTTGACATGACCTGTTATATAGTTCTATTTGCAGTCGTTTAAAATACTTTAAAAAAAAAATAAATCTACACAGAAAAATGTATACCGTTTTTGGATATGTTCTGGTAGTCCCTGTGGTTGCAACGGTTCCAGTTTCTTAACTTCAAATATATTGATTGTGTCCATCCTCTGTAATATACAGAGCTCAGTTAGGAAAATGAAAAACATCAGCAAAAGCCAACAGAAGCTCAGATCCTGTGTAAGGGGTCATAAAATATAGTAACTATTTATATAAAATAAAATAGAGTATATACAATACAGTATATACTAGAGGTGCACCGAAATGGAAATGTTTAAACCGAAACGAAACCGAAATAAAAAAAAAAATTCAGGCCGAAACAGATACCGAAAATGAAATTAAGCTATAATACATGTGTTATTTGCCAATAAGATCATTATTTTCCGATCTCTTGACTGCCATTGTTTTAAAAAAGGATTATGGTAAATAGGAATTAGGCCTTAGGGCATAGATGGCATAGCCACACATTACCTCGATGATGATATCATACTGGTTGCATTTAAGTAATTAGGCCTAAAGTATAATACTGTCAGCCTGGAGAAATCTCTGTATTGATCCAAATCCATTAAGAATCAGACTTTTAGATTCCAGCTGTTTTTTTTTTTTTTTTAAATACTGTACTGGTGACTGAAAAGTAGCAGAGCTTCGACATAGCTGAGACCCTTTGTATACACATTATAAGCCTCCACATAGCATTGCTGTGCATAGGGATACTTCTAACAATCCAACAGCATGAGTCACCAGGAAACGCAACAAGAATGGTAGAAATAGGTAGAGGCTTTCACTAGGCTCTGCATCAGGGATACTGTACACATTTCACTGATCTATCCTCACATTCTCACTGTAGCTGAGTTTACTGTAATCACTATACTGTAGTTTTGCCATTGAATCAACATGTTTTTTTTCAGTACTGAGTTACACTGTTTTACCCATACTACTAATATCATGGAGGAGCTTGCAGATACTGATACAGTAATAACACTAAGTAGGAAACCATTAACATTAAATAAGTACTCAGGGCTTTTATAAAACTTACCCTTGCAGTGGTTAAGTGCTCGTCTTGTCTCGGGGCCCATATAAAGAAGATATACTCACTTGATCCTCAATGCTGTGGCATTCAGCCCCCCCCGCTCTCCCACTCTAGCTGTGGTATGTCCCACATCTAATGCAAGTCATTGGACCTGCGTTAGATGTATTGACATCAGCGGTCCTTAGACTGCCAAAACACAGGGAAGAACAGGCTGTGGGGCCAGTCTAGCAGGTGGTTCCAGGGATCAGGTCAGTATATATTCTTTATTTGTGCCCCTAGACCAAAACAAGCACTTAACCCTAGCAGTACAGGGGTAGACCCACTTAAAGGGTTAGTTTCTTAGTTCCTGGAGTTCCTCTTTAGGGCCATTGTTTGAATTAACAGCTCTACCTTTAACTATTTTAAAGGAGAACTATGGAGAGAATGAAATGCACTCATTTCCATAGTTAAAACCGATGTGCGACACTGTAGCTGTCACACTTTGGCGCAATGGATCGAGAACTAAGCAAAAACATACCTCTGATCGCTCAGTTCATGATTTTCTCCCTGCAGACAGTGGTCACTGTCAGTCACAGCTCCTTGCATGGATTCCCCCTCCCCTCTCTGTTCCTCTAACACTCATTGGAGGGACATATAGGGGAGGGGGCAGGCACAGCTAGCTCTGGTTCTTGAGAGGCAGAGCCAGCTGTCAATCAGACAGCAGGGTGGATCTCGAAAATATTGTTGGGATCTTTCCCGGCTGCAGTGCTGCTCTGTGCTGTCAGCATATTGTGGGCAATAGCTTGCTATGTACTGAGTTTTGGTCACAGAAGGACATTAGTAAATTTACTCCTATGACCCAAAAGAGAACTAACGCCAAAAAAGATTTGACCATTATTCTCTTGACTGGTATGGTTTCAAAACATTTTACTGAATGAGAGTTCTAAGAAAGCATCTCTAAAAGCTCATTACAAAATTAAAAGCTATAAATTACTATACATATTCATGAGACAACAACAGAAAGTGATGACAGGCCAACAGATGGGCTCCATGTGGCTCCTGAAAGAAAGTGTTGTATAATTCATCTTATAATGCTGAATGAAAAAGATTATTGTTATTTCACTCCCTACTTTTCAACACAAGCTTAAATTTTATGTGCTGCTTAAACACTTCCTTCGCTCTCCTGATGCCTGAGGCATTGAATTTACAGTAGTGATGTATATTAAAGGATAACTATGAGGTGAGTGATTTTCACTCAACCTCATAGTTCAAGCCGACGTGTGACAATGAAACTGTCACGCGTCGGCTCAATAGATCAGGAAGTGAGCGAACACATACCATCGCTCGCTCATTTCTCCATCATCTCCCTGCAGAGAGCTGTGTCACTCATGGCTCCCTGCAGGGATTCCCCGCCCCCTCCGATCCTCCATCGTTGACTGGAGGGACGGACGGGGAGGGGGCAGGTACAGCTGGCTCGGCCTCTAGATAGGAAGAGCCAGCTGTCACTCACGCAGCTGGGTGAATCTCGACAGTAATGTCGGGATCCCTCCTGGCTGCGGCGGTCTCAGTATAGCGCGAGCTGTAGCTCGCGCTATACTGAGCTTTGGGTGACGGGAGGACGCTTGTTTATGTCCTCCCATGACCCTTAGGAGAACTATGGGGGAAAACACTTACCCCATATTTCTCCTTTAAATACACAGAGGCATTGCAGTTATGAATTTGTACCCAAGACCCTGATCTGAGTCTCCCCATTATTTGAAAAGCTAGTGAAGACAAAACATTTAAACTTAGATTTTTTTGTTTAGAGAACAGAAATGTAATGTGAAAGTATTACATACAGAACAGGTGAAACAAATGTTGTTTGGTGGGTTGATTTACTAATGGCAAATAGGCTGTTTATTTTGCAAGCAAGGAAACTTTCCCTTAGGTTAATAAATGTGGTAAAAATTAATTTAGCAAAAAATACCCAATCATGTGCAAGGAATTGAAAAAAAAAAACCCAGTGTTTTTGCCTGCTCATGATTAGATGATAGAAGTCATCAGAGTTTCACCTCATTCACTAATCAAAGGGAAAATTCCCTTGCAAAGTAAACAGCCTATTTGTCTTTAGTAAATCAACCCCAGTGTATTTGAACTATTTGCAGTTTTTTTTTCTGCCTTGTGTGTACAGGATTATAAGAACGTACGACTGAGGAAAATACATGCTCACAAACCTATGCTATCACAACATAATGCCGTAAAATGTTCGGATCTAATTGTCTCACCCAATCGTGGAGTTCTGAAATCCAGTGAACAAGGAGAACTGGGGCCAGTCAAATTCATTGGAGATAGTAAGTGCCATATTCGAGAAGGTATCCTAAAAATATAATGTTTATTAATACAGTTTGTCCTTACCAATTTGTTGCACCAATGTCAGTTCACAAAGCACACATTGGGGGAATTTTAAAACGGGAGCAAGCAGAATCTGGAGCAGTTGCCCATGGCAACCAATCAGCATCTCTCCTCAGTTTGCTCAGGTAAGATTTGAAAGTGAGAGAAGCTGATTGGCTGCAGTGCAAATCTGCTCCACATGTTGTCTGCTCCAGTTTTGATAAATTCCCCCATAATATTTAGATTGAATCATGAATATGTCCTGTATTTTGCGATGTTAATCCCTTTGACAGAGTGTTTTCCAGTATTTTAGTATTCGGACTAGCCAGTATTTGAGTTTCTCATATCAAGATTTCAAAATGTACCAGCTGTACATGTAAATAACACATTTTGAAAACAAAAAGATCCAAAGACATTTGTTTTTGTCTTCTTGCAATCATATTTCAGTTTGCTGTTTTGTATTTAGGATGTTAGCTGTAGCTAGAAAAGGGTTACCTTTGTGCAGTTTGGGACTGTGCTCGAGAAAACTTACAAAACACCACTGTAAAAAAAACTTTTTAGGACCCATCTGGCATGAGTACCTTGGGTGCAGAGGGTAAGCTGGTCACAACACAAAATAATAAGAACTTGGTTCTTATGTGTACCAAAATACATATACATGAACTGCATGTGAAGTAACAAATAACAAATAACAAGTACAAGTACAAGAGTACAAGAGGGAAGTCCATTTATTTTTGGTAAACACCAATTAGACGTGCAAAAAGTTTGTTGTGGACTGGGGTAGTCCCAGTCTCTTTTTGCTATTTGCCAAATATTCCCTGCAGATGACTCTTCCTTTTACACATGTTCTAAATTACAGGGAATGATTAACCACTTGTGAATGTTTGATAAATGTCACATTCACTACTTTATCAATATGCCCCACTCATGTGCATTCACCACCTCCATATTACTGGAATGAATTATGATTGATCCTGGCAATGTCTTCTCCATGTACAAAGAACCAAATCAAATAGCATTGCTCCTTTATTATTTTTGCTTATACTGCTGTTAAGAAATTGGTGCTAATGTTGTTTATGTGAAAACAGAGAAAATGGGAAATGAGCTACACTGTAGCACATAATTACAAATAACAAATACATGGCTAAATTCAGTTGCATAAATACGTTGAAAAAATATCTTGAATGCAGATTATAATACGGGGCTACAGACAACTTGATATTTTATACATATGAATAGTATTAGTATGCAATGAGAAGTCTCTATCAAATATCCCTAAAAGAGAAACTATAGAATGAATATGAATTTTTCGTTATTAAAGGAGAACTATGGGGTCAGTGTTTTTCCATAGTTCTCCTTGGGGTAACGGGAGGACACAAACTAGCGTCCTCCCATTACCCTAAGCTCAGTATACCGCGAGCTACAGCTCGCGGTATACTGAGACGCCGCACCTGGAGCGGATCCCGAATTAGATGACGGGATCCGCCCAGCTGCGTGAGTGACAGCTGGCTCTGCCTATCTAGAGGCAGAGCCAGCTGTACCCGCCCCCTCCCCCGTCCGTTCCACGAGTCAGCGCTGGCAGAACGGAGCGGGGAGAGGGGAATCCAACCCCTCCCCCTGTCACGGCAGAGAGCCGTGACAGGATCGAGAGGTGAGGGAACCCGGTATGTGTTCTCTCACCTCCCGATCTACTGAGCCGTCCTGTGACAGTCTCATTGTCACAGGTCGGCTTAGAACTATGAGGTGAGTGGAAATCACTCATGTCATAGTTCTCCTTTAAATTAACATTTACCTGAAAGTAATTTTCGACTTTACTTTCACATTTTGACTTGCTTATTGTTCTATTTTTTTTTACGTATTCTACTTAATATGCAGTTTTCAAGTCAAAATAGCTTTTATGAAAGACATGTAAAACGGTTTCAACCAGTTTGGTTTGAGGCAAACTTGTAAATAACTGTGAAAGGGTTATTTTCATGCCAACTACACATACAAGAACTCTTGCAACATGGTAGATGCAGTAGAACACAATGTGATTGCAATTAACTTACACATGAAACAAATGACATAAGTTGCACATGACCCAAACCACATAATCTATCAGATTTGTCTGTTAAAGTTGATAATGATCTGTATTTTAGCCATGTGACTGTTGTTTTCTAAACTCTCTTTTTTTTAACATAATAATTCTTATTCTGGGCTGCTAGCTATGTGAATTAAGCCCTTAATATAGTATTTTATCTGTTTGAATATTCATCAATAAAAAAAGCATTAAAACTGAGATTTGATGTCCTGAGTCAGACCTCCCCTTTAGCTTTAATTAAATATCAGTAAGTTTCTGCAAACTCTCTTGCTGGACTATTGAGATTTGCATTACTGGAAAGACATAAAAATGCTTGGGTTCACACCTAGGCGTATTGAATATGGGCATTTGTTTCCGTGGGCTACTTGGCTGTATCCCAATGGAAACGCGAGACCAAAACGCCCCAAAGAAGTACCGGTACTTCTTTGGGCGTAGGCCGTTTTGTAGCGCGTTCAGACGGGCTGAAATACGCCCAGGTGTGAACCATACCCATAGGAAACAATGGGATTTCTGTGTTTGAGCGTTTTGCAGAGTGTTCGAACGCGCTACAAAACGCCCAGGTGTGAACCAGGCCTACAGGAAGCTAGATTCATTGGACCCTTAACAAGCTCATTCAGTTAAACTGTACTGCAGCCTAAAGTTCATAGAGACTCTCCTTCAATCTGATATATAATCATCTTGCATTCATTAGCTAAACAAACATTTTTTTATTTTACTTGCATTTCCTTTATTTCAACTTCCTGGTCCACTTTGGCACAAATGATGTAATCGTGTCCAAGCATTGCATCCTAGGAAGGTTACATCAGCAGAAGATTGCTGGGAAATCTCATCAGTAATCTCATATTAGCTCAGGTAAAGGCATTTTCCTTCCCTGAGATGATGTGCATGGTCACATGTCCTAGTCACATGTGCCAGCGTTCCAGGAAGTAAAGGGAGATGGATTAATCTGCCCTTTATTAAAATGGCCACTGTCAGAAGACTGGGGAAGAAAAGAAAAATAAGGTATGCAAAATAAAAAGCCGGCAATTATCTAGAAGTATCTGTCTGTAGACTCATCACTAAACATTTCTAACGGTCAGTGGCGTCACAAGGAGGGTGCGGGGGGTTCGGTCCGCACCCGGGTGACACCATTGGAGGGGTGACACCAAAAAACTCACAGTCATTTTGGTGTCACCCCCCTCTGAAAAGTCGGGCGCTCGGTCATGGCCCAACAGTATCAGGAGAGAGGAGGGGACCCGGCGGCATACCTTATCCCTCCGGGTGACTGTCCCTCCCCTCTCTGCCGGCGTCCATCACCAAGATGGCCGCCAGCAGGTATCAGAATACTGCCGCGCGTGGTGACGTCACACGCATGCGCAGTGACGTCTCGGCGGCGCGACACTCGGTTACCGCTCGGGTGTCACCCAGCTTCGGGATGCCCCTGCTATAGGTGCCTTTGTTGGTATTTTGAAGATATGGGCAAAGTTCCTCTTTAATTAGAAGGTTCTATATTTTATTAGTTTTCTTACCTAATAATGAAGTATAGTATATCCTTATCAGGAATATTACAGAAGAATCCCAATTCACAGTTCCAAACTGGCTGCTGCGAATTGAAGTTTAGTGCCAGTGAATTCACTAATCGATAGCTATGACTTTTTTCTTATGTAGTTGCTTGTTTTGACTATATTGGTGTTCCTTTTAATTATATATGAGATAATTTTCTAATCATCTGTTTATTGTGCACATTGTGATTTATTTGTGCAGAATCACAGAAACAATGTGATTCTGTGAAATTCAGAATCGTACAGAAACAATCCACTTGTTGTACGTCTTCTGAAGCAATTCTCCAACCAGCTTGTGGAAATGACCGTCAATATAGGCCAAGCCACAAGGTTACTCTTTAGTGCAGTATGTGAGAAAGTGTCAGATTAGAACCTTAAAAAACTCACATGAAATAACAATGTCAAACACATGTTTTTTTTATAACCAACATCAATAAAATTATCCATTGTACTTCTTGTGAGGATATGTGGGTGAAGGCCTTAGAGAGAACCGATCAGGAATGGGCATTTGTAATAAACTGACACACAGCATGGCCTTACCTCTCAGGGATAACTTTTGATTTTGATTATTTACTTGTACCTTCTCCCTGTTAGAGCACAAGGCCCATACAGAGGCTTTCTTATCTCCTGCTTGAACTCATTGTTGAAAACTCACAATCTCTCCAGGTAAAACTATCATTTAACAATGCCTTTTGATTTCTTTTATGTAATCCTGGCAACACATTTTTAACATGACCATTGTACGAGTGTCTGTGATCAGCACCGAACTCATGTGGGATACAAAATAGCTTCTGCAGAAACCTTTAAGTCTGACAAAAAAGAATTACCGTATAATTTCTAATAAATAAAGTAATCCCTGAGATGTAATGCTGCACTATTATAACAATATTTTAAAAGTTCTAAATGTGAATGCTTCTCTATAGGCTGGACATATTGGTATATTTCTCCCTTAGCAGGCATCCATAACCATCTGTCTGTCCTGAAAAGTGCTGCCCATCTTGCTCCACCTTGCCACGACATTGTGGGGAAGACATAAGACATAAGACAATAGTGTGTCAGCTAACTGGCTAAATCATAGATGTCTGACATTATTTTACCACTTTCACAATGTCCTCTTCATTGATTGAAATTTTTATGAATATGATCAAGTATGTCATATTTAAACATTTACAGGGTTATTCACAAAAGGGTGAAGAGTTTGGAGAAGGCAGGAGAAGTGAACAATCTAGGACACATGGCTAGTGCTATGTGTGGCTATGTGCTGAATGAAAAGCTACGAACTTGCAATGTCTTCTCACCCCACTGTAGGGCAAGCAGACACAGCCTACATTAGGGTCACAATGCTGCTCTCACTTCAGGAGCAGG